TGAGGTGAAAACAGTGGCCGCGTATTAATTGGAGTTAATCGTAAAGTGCATCTAGTACACGGTCACTGTCCATAACTAGCGTATTGTTGTTGTGAAGCAAAAGCATCAAGATTGGCGACGAAATTACAGCCGAGATCTTCAGAATTATTTAGACACTCGGCAGGCTATAACCCTTATCCTGAAACCACCTTGTCTAGACAACCTGTCTAAATCGAGCGACAAAGCTCAACCACATCCACGTAAGTCTTCATTGGAGGATAACACGAGTAAACTGACAGAAAAGGCTCTCAGGCATTGGAGTCCCGAAAGTGATTAGCATACTTAGCATCTTCGAGACCCTGAAGCAGGTTGATGTCTGACTTATTAGCCGAGTCATGGGGACGACTGCTGTGAGTCTTCAAACAATATGTGAGGCTGATAGTTCTAAAGATGCTTGCTGTGGGGACGATCGAACCAACGAGGAGACCTTGGAAATCGGGCTGAAATGTCACGGGTTCAGCCCGAAGACCTGGAAAACCATAGCGCAGGGGCTTCAGGTATGATGATGTCCTGAAAAACTGGAATGGTAATACTTGAAAGCAAGTGGAGACTGGCAGACACAAAAGCGCGAGCATGTCAGAATGAAATAAAGCGAACAGAACATGCTGACACACAGCAACTCATGTGTCCACATTCCAAATAAGCATTTTGGGCTCGAAGGGACCTTATTAGAAGCCCCAACACCCGCCGAAGTGTTCCCGCCACCAATCCTCCCATTACGCCACTGGAGGAATAGCATCAAAGGAAAAACTGATCAAATTTTTAGGTCTTGATTCGCTCTTATCGAACACCTCTGTATTCATCGCAACACACAAGGGCGTGCAAGACAAACGCCATTATTGAGATAGCCTGACTCCACTACGACCATACACTACAATCACGTATTAGTTTGATTTGCCACCCTGTGCACTTACTACGGTGCGAATGGGTGTCCGTTGACCAGTCCATACTGATCCGGACATTCAAGCACAGCATTAAGTTATCTGAACATCTACAATCGTGCTATGGCGACCACTAAAACACCTCGGTATAGCATCCACTGTGGCGAAGTTGGCCGTCGTCAATCACGACGGCAGAACCATCGAGTCGAAGCTTAGTTACATTTAAATGCAAACAAAAAGGAACATTCTACATGGTTAAACGTTTAAGACAGCAAGACCGGACTGCAATGTGTAAAAGGTTGAGGCATTACCTACGGCCGCGCGCTTGAAGGGCTGTAGATCATGATCGCGCTTGGCAGATGCTGGGCGAATGTGCTGAATTCTGAAGTGTTCTTCGAGAAGTTCAGCTCTTCCATACGAACTAAGACATGAAGGGCAGATGAAACCCTCGATGATCGCCTCCTCCACATTGCAGCCGTCGGAGGTCATCAAAGTTTAGGCGCAAGAGAAAACGGTCGGGTAATGTTTCCCATGCGAAAATGTTATAGTTGGGCAGTAGGGCATGCGAGACCTGTATCAGAAAAACGCGTACTGGAAAACGATCTCGTAAGAATATATTTACGGTCGGAAAAGCACATTCTATTCTAATAGTAGCAACAACAAACTCTACGTTGACGTGTTACTACATAGCGGAAGTAAAGGGGAAGAATTTGAAACCCTGGTCAAGGGCTAGTATAAATGAACTAAACAGGCATTCAAGTTTGAACAGGTGCTGAAAACGAGAGCTTGTAAATTGTCTACGTTGCCGGGGTACAATTCCGCAATCAGTACCATATCCTAGGGTGGCCTAGGAGCTCCTAGGCCATTTCCTGATCGTCAAGTGATCGCCAAGAGAATTGCAAATCCAATAACAATAATCCAACTACTGATGATGAGTTTAAGGCTGACGAAGAAAATATGAAGTGTGATGACAATGCAGCTGCCTAATTCAGGAAATCAAGGGTATATGGAAACTAAAAAAGCGGGTAAAAATGACTTAGTAAACGCCTTATGCTTCATGGTTCATAATGGGTTTCCATACAAAACCGTTCCTGACGGTTTAGTTCTCAACTTCCCCGACCAGGATACCCAGCGTGAGTCACAGGTATTATCGCATATCTTATCCGTAGTTTTGTCTAGTCCCCAAACTCAACTTATGAGTGGGATAAATTAAAACCTATGTAATTAGTTCACGACAGGTGTCCAGTTGTAGGTTAACCAGGCAGGCTAAAGACCCGCTACCCCCTCAGAGTACGCTGGCTCGCGGCGAGCTCGCTTGCTATTAGGGTAATTATCAGGAGGAATTTCTACGTGTTACTTGGTCTACAATTACTCGAGTTTTATGATCCACAACTTACTAACTGGATAGGTGGGACTTAATTCTCATTTTCAAATCTACGAGCTGTTAAACATTCAACTGTTAGGATATATCCTAAGATATCCGATAGTTCCACATATTTTGCAAAAAAACATAAGCAGGAAAACGCTAGATCGCCAAATATTACAAAACAACGATCGGAGTCAATTGGGATAGTTAACTAATTGACTTGAAGTGGCTGTGCCTGTGCAGAAGAAACTGCCACGACATTACGGAGAAACGGCAAATATGACATGTATAGCTGAACAAAAAGGCTGGTGCTATCACACACCAGTTTTGAGTCCGGCCACCGCCCCCTGTTATTCTATTGGTTTAATACGACTAAAAGTTAAAGGACACTGCATGTACCGAACAGGGTACGGCAGTACGGGGCTTATCTTCACTAGAGGTTGGGAAAGTCGGCTGAGACATGTCACAGGATATCGTCAAGGTAGTCCATTCGAAAAGGCTGGTTAGTTCTAAATGCAAGTCAGCGGGGGATCTGTGGGGTTCGGATATGACAAATCTGTGTAAAATGATGATCATGGAAATATTTATTCTCAGTCTAGGTGGCCAAATAGCAACCTAAAGGAAGGCATTAAAGGAAAGCAAAAATTGTGCGAAAATACTGCGTCACTGGGCAAGTTAAGTATTTCAACACCTGCACGAAACAAAGAAACAAGCCGCGAAGCATGATTATAAAGACGATCTGAGAGTTCGCGAAAAGTTTGCTACGAAAATCAACACAGAACCCAAAATTACTCTATAGCCACCTCATTAGAAGTACAAGGAACAGACACTAAATCCCCTCAATAAGAAGCAACGGCGGCGTTGGGATTTCTGATAGAAGGGGTAAAGCCTTATATTTTTCGCAGTTTTTCCGATCAATCTACATAAACGAGACAAGGTTCCTTCCTTAATCCACAGAACTGACGACTCCAAGCATAATTGCTATACCTTTATCAGAACTTGTTGTCCGAAAAGATCTAGAGGCACTGAAAGAGTCGAAGTCGGCAGGACCAGACGAGCTTACACCCAAGATTCTCAAGGAACTTGCTAATGCGCTTTTTGTGCTTTTGTCGATGCTCTGTCAAACGTCATTTGCTACTTAAACACTTACTATCGATTGGAAGCTGGCGCATATTACTCCACTATACAAAGGAGGCAGCGGGGCATCGACGGCAAATTACAGGCCCATAAGCTTGACATGCATTCGCTGCAGAGTTATAGAGAGGATCCTGAAGAGTGGATTGAGGCACTTCCAGGAAGTTCACGACTTGCTATCGAACTGCCTACATGGGTTCCGGAAAGGATGATCCTGCACGACAAACTTGTTGCAATCTCTCCAGTGCTGGACAAGTGCTCATCATGACAGGGTCCACATAGCTTTATTGAATTCCAGAAGACGTCCTACACTGCGTAACACCAGAGACTGTTACACAAGCTGAAAAAATGGGGGTCAGGGGTAACTTCCTTAGATAGATCGAAAACTTCCTTGTGGGTCGACAGCTGGTTATGTGCATCGGTCAAGGAAAATCAGATCCTGCTGTGGTCGAGATTAGTGTTCCCCAGAGGTCAGTACTGGGACCCATTTTGTTCCTAGTGTACCTGAACAATAGAGCAAGAGCTGTGCACTGCGAAGTAACAATGTTTGCCGACGACATGAAGGCGTGGAGCCCAAGCAACGAAGACAGGCTGCAGATGAACACGAATCGGTTGAAAGAGTGATCGAACAGTTAGCTCGTACGGTTTAACGTTGGTAAATATGTCAGATCTCGCCTAGGCAACACAGGCAGATCCTCCAGCACGAGAGAATACCTTCTGGGCGTTGCAGCATTACGAGACGTCGAAGTCCAAAAGAATCTCGGCGTGATGACGAAGAACTCCCTGTAATGGGACACCGACAGGCCTTTAGTAAAAAGTATTTATTTATTCATTTAAACCATCCGCCTATTGTTCGACAGAGGAGGAGTGCGGTATCCGTACTGTACGCCATCAAACGTGCGTTTATGGATTTTGACGAAGACGCTTTCTCAAAGACATTCCAAGTGCGGCCGCACTTGGCAAACGGCATACAAGACTGGAGACAGTGGGCGGTTCAAGATCAAATTTGCCCCGAAAGAGTTCAGAGGAGAGTCACGAGGATGGTGAGGGGTCAAAACTCCTTTCCTTATGTTACCTGCCTAGTAAATCCGAACCTCTCCCCCTTGACGATAGGCGCTATAAAGATATACGAAAAGAGATGAGTACAAACTACCGAGCTAAACTACAATAACAAACCAGGTAAAAGTGCACAATGAGATGTAGTGGATGACAGGTTAGATGGATAGAAAAATGGTTAAATGAATAACGGGACTTAGCGAGCGTGCAGCGATGTAGCGATCGCCCTGTGTATCTGCGGCGTAATTCTGAAAAAGTAACTGCGTAACTGCTACCCGTTTGGCCTTGTACGGATGACCGCGCAGATGACTTATGTTCTTGAACTCAAAGAAATCCTCAAATTTGAGGGAATAATCATGCCCCGGATAATGCAGTATGTCCATAAAAGATCACACTCCATTTGTCTATAGGATAGGGGGAACAAAGTGAGCTGGGTCAGTCTTTCTGTATGTGACAGTCGTAAGACCGTCCACCAGTTTGTCGCCCGTCGTTGTACGTGCTCGGCGGAATCACTGTTTTCTTCATCGAGGGCATCCATGCTGGCATTCCGTATTCCAAGTGCGGTCCGACGAACGTACCTAATATCTGCACGAATGGTTAAGGAGGAAAGACTACGAAGGCACGCCAAATCCAGTACATGAAGTTGGTTGCTTTTTGGGCGGCTCTTCTACAGTGCACGGAGGGCAGCATGTTTGAACTTCTCGAGACACATAGGTCGTTGTGCATGTCCACTTCTCCTAGTAGAACTCCATTTATGGGATACCGGGGTTTTGAGGAGCGCCTCTGACCAGATTCTGTGCGCAAGACTGCACATTTCGATGCAATAAGCACTAGAAGTCACTTGCTGAACCATGCAGTCAATTTATCAACATCTTCCTGCAGTTACTGTGCGTCCTCAACACAGGTGATTGTTTTCCAGATCAGTATATCACCAGCACACATAAAGGCATCACATTCAGGAGATACCATACAGTCGTTTACCTAAATGAGAAAGAGGAGAAGACCCAAGACGGAACCCTGTGGAACGCCGCTTTCGACTGGTATTAATGACAGGAAAATTAAATCCACTTAAAAGGCTGTTCTGTATTCCATACTCTTCAATCTTCTGTAGGAATCGCCAATGAGGAAACGCTATCCAACGCCTTCTTAGACTCGAGGAAGATGGCATTAACTGGGCGGCTCTGGTCTGTGGCTTTTGTCCATTTTTACCGCGAGTAAAGACTACTCGTAAGACATGGATGACCACGACGAAATCCGTGATGAGCAGCGCACATTAGGTTCCTCTGCTCCAGATACCTCGTTAAATGCCCCCTTAATAAGTCGTTCCACGACCTCCGGCAAAATGCTGGCTAAACTAATAAGACGGTAATTTTCGGGCTCCAGTCTGGACTCTTCTTTGAAGATTGGAGAGATAAAGGCAGTTTACCACGGACACCGGCTCGCACAGTACGTCAGCCAATTCTCGAAGGACAGGTGGATAAATTCTATCCGGACCAGGTGATTTGGCAGGCCTCAGTCAACTTAGTTCGGTCCCTATCAATGTAGGCGAGAAGCAAATATTGTCTTATAACGCAAGCGATGAAGAAATTTATTGTTTTTCTGGATAAGGAATAGGAGGGGGTTTTCTTCATAAGTGAATACTGACTAAAAGAAACTGGAGAAGGCTGATGCTTTCATTTTGTCATCCGTCTCAATTACTCCGTTTTGGGACCTCAGTGTCGGAATCGACTCCCGATTTCTTTTGGCAATGCATATGTAACTGTGGAGGATTTCAGGATGCTCCGAAGAACTTTGCAATACGCATAGCTCAGAGATCCTTCAAAGTCTATTAGCCTCACGTTTAAACACATTCCGCTGTGGTTTGTATTCCTGCAGATGTTGAGAACTCTCTGTTGGTCGATAACGTCTACACACCTGATTTCTCCTACTAAAC